AAGTACTCCAGAGTGTTGTTCAGCATGGGGGTGAGTAGAAAATGAAGGCTAATCATGTTTTGGGTGTACTATTCCTTTAAGACTGAAAGCTCAACTTCATGAACAGATCTTTAAAACAAACCTTTAACCTTCTCACAGGTTAAATAAGGACTGATGTGACCTTTTCACTTCAGTGATGTCAACAGTCTGACGTCAACGTTTTGCTGCACGCTGCGAGTTATTTATGGCCCTGAGAAAAACCCGCCGTGCTTCTTTGTTTTCTTAAAGACAAAAGGAAATGTGGCAGTGCATCATGTTCTGTTTTTCATGATGCATTACACGGTATCACATTAAACATGCTCTCAACCGACAGCTAAACAATGATGCATCCAGATATTAATGTGCATTAATGTTGCCGGAGCGCCCTCTCAGAGAAGCCGTTAGGATAAATGTTTGTAGATGGCATTTAGTGAAGACTTCAGCCCATCGACAACAATCAAACCCTCCTAATGGAGATGACTGCAGGTTGAAAAACAGGAAATGTTTGTAGCATCACAGCTATAGATAAACTTGTAGTAAAGACTTTGAACAGCTCTGTACCTTTCTCCAGTTCCACAGGGAACAGGTCCAGCCTCTCCACTCTCTTCTCCAGCTCGTATTCTGCCGACGCCGCCATGGGATCCACGTCTTCATTGCGCCTGTCGTAGTCCTCGTTTGGATAGGTGGCAAAAACCTGCAGTGGGGAAAGATTTTCCTGGTTTAAAAAGGTAATAAGAGACTTGATCACTTTTATTTTTTATATTTATCTCTTCTTGCCAACAAAGGTCAAAAAAACAGTCACAAAATGAAACCTGATTGTTGGGTTAAAAAATGTAGGTTCATAAAAGAGAAACTGAGTCCACACAGAAGAGGGATTTTTTAACGGCTTCTGCAGAAGGAGAGCGCTACGCTCAGCTACATCTACTCTCTGGTGGGTTTCCCCAGCAGAAGCCTTTTTATTAGCAGATCATAACACATGGGGTGGGTTACAAAATAGAGTGTTCTTCTGACAAGGCAATTGATCAGGTCATAGGACAAAATGCTCCTCTGATTGAATCACAGAATAGAGTGGTCTCCTGATAACTGTGATTAGCCTTGCACAAATATCAGATACCACCGTTGCATGACATTTTGCAGTAAACAGAGTGAAGCATCTTAATTCTCCAATGTTCCATATGCACAAACATTAACTTTATAATCATCATTGAATAAACCTAACTCCGATGATACAACCTCAGTTCCATGCAGGCTCGGACTGGTAATCTGTGATATCGGGCATTTGCCCGGTGGACAGGTCTTAAATTCAGCGTGCGAAGGCCGGCCCTCCTTAAATCATACCAGCCCTGACTTCCTCTCCGGCCGAAGCTCCTACCTGTGACAGTAATTAACTCAAGGAGCTCAGGAAGTAATACAATATTAACTCGCCAATTGATGCATGCAGTATATATAGCCCTACCTTGTCATGCACATTCTTATGATGGTTGGCATGTGGTGTCATTTTCTATTTCTTCAAACTGTAAAATCCTTGCAACAAACTAAATTATAATAAAACTAAAATGTTTTCTTTAACCCAAACTATGATGTTCCTCTTATATTTGGTGAATTTATGTTTGAATATTTAGCAAAAATATGTTGCTGCGATGCATAATGGGGTTTTGCATCTAAAGGCTAATGTTTCCCGTCTTATGTGCATTGTTGCCAGGTTGGGATGTTTCCCAATCTGGCAGTTTAGAATGGCTATGAAATAGACTTTGGTTCAAATTGGGCGAGATTTCGTATATCCAGGCGGTTAATGAACATTTTTTGAGCTGGAAGACGTGAGTCATTGACATCTGGCAACCCTGCTGATGTGGTGAGTGTGGACGTTACGCAGCAGCAGTCACTGCCGCATCCGTGTTAATAATCCATCTATGGGCCGGTGTAGATGGAAAAATGCCGAAAATCATTCCCAGTCCGAGCCTGTTTCCTTGGAGAAGCTTTGTCACCCTTTCTCATTTAGTATTTTTCCTAATTGCTCTGTCCTAATCTTGTCTGAGGTGAAGTTTTTCAAACTTTCATTTGGTCCAACTTTTATTGTCCAGAGCAGCGGGCTGCCCTTTCTTTGTTGCCATCCCCCACTGCCAGCTAGCTGGCTGAAAGAAGGCAGCTAAA